ATGAAACAATGACCCGTAAATTATACAGTACAATTGAATTATTAAAGTGAACTGCAGAAGTCATTAACGAATAAATATTATAAAATTTGTGATCTTTTAAGAAAGCTAAACACATTAACAACAACCGAAGGTGAGTTGATTGAGTCTAGAGCCTTACAGATTATGAGATAGTAAGAGAAATCCTTTTCAACTCGAAATCTCGAATTCCAAAGGAATTTCCAAATTTCTCATTAACAAATAGTGAAATCACTTTGCATCATAGAACTTTCTATAGTAATCAGCTTCGAAAAAGCGTTACAGAACAGTCGTATTCAAAAAACTGCTTGAAGTTTTGGGTTTTACTAAACTGTCACTGCTGTGTAACAAGCTGAATTCTCCCGACAAACTCTGCTTCCATCCGCAAAGAAGTGTGACATTCATGAATCGACTACCTTCATAAAGGTGTTATTGACTATTTTCCCGTTCAACTGAAGAAACATTAAGAGATCCGTAATATTCGAATCAGAAATGGTGATCGTGGTTTGAAATGTCTGCAAAAACAACACTGGAACCTTGTTTGATACTGGTGCGGGTTAGGCAAATAACACTAGAACTGTACGTCAGACTGCTCATGTCAGCATATTTTGGAACTGGAATATTCATAAGTCACAAATTGCACGTATTTCGTTCACTGCTAGAGATTGATACATCCAATATTCCCGTGCCATTCCTAATTTTCAGTACTTTCGACTCCAATCATCTTCACATCCAGTATTTCGATGTTCCATCTGAAGTTTCGTCCAAAATCGTTGTTCTGTGAACGACTCAAGCGGTACGCTGGCATCACCGATACCGCATCGACATCATCTGATAACGAGATGGATTTCTCGACAAATCGCGCTTTCTCCATGAATTTGAAACCTGCCATCGGTCGGATAAATACGACTAATCTGAAAAGATCAACTGATGTGAGATGGTTATGCAGAGAATTCAAATTTCATTTTAATTGATTCTACTGCGATTGAATTTGCGAATTTCAAAATGCTTTGATGATCATCACTTCAAACGTTCAAGTTACTTACTAGGAAAGGTCACAAACTTAATCTGGCCTTTCGTGATGAAATATACATCATATTGTAGGGCTCCTCGAGCTGATCATGAATATGTAAGAAATTTTTGCGAAACACAAAGGGGAGGCGAAATATGGCGGGGAAAAGGTTTTCAGTGTATTGATGTTACGTTCTGAATTTTGTTGTGGCGGTAACGGCCTGGCCTAGTGGGTAGTGCGCTAGCGCTATGTGTGGGTGGGCGGTGGTTCTGTTCCGCGTGATGCCGAAGTTTTTTCTCTCGTGTATGTATGACATATTTAAACAACCATGATATTCTGATTCCCTCCCCACAGCTTCTATCTTTCTTTGTGGGGACATTTTTATATATGTTAAAAACTTTGAGTTCTCTTTTGATTGTTTGTACCTGGATACAGCCACGTATGGTTTTAATTTTGGATTCGTGGTCGTCATTCAAACGACATGATGAAATGTGAGAAATGTTTACATCAAATGTATCTCTCGAAATTGAGAACATTCCAG